GAGTAGTAGTACTGTGAACCCAGGCTGTGTAAGGATGCACGCCCAGGGGGAGGAGCCATGACAGTCTTGACACAGAGGAAGTAGGTTGAATGATGTTGGCTGAGGACATCTGGTGGTGGAAAATAATAACTGCAGGAACTAGCTCTTTTTTGGCGGTTAATTTATGCTTTCAATGTAGAAGTTTGGTTGTTAGTGGAAATGCTCCAACATGTGAGCAGTGCATATGACAAGACTGTATGACAAACTCACAGACTTTCTTGGAACGTGAGAGCCGCTGGTTTTTCATGTTCGGTGTAGAAAAAGGCTTCTGAAAATCTCCTTACCTACAAAAGATGCAATAAAGATATATTAGACATCTACAGTGCAATAAAACTGTGGAGGTCATTCAGTCCAATACATAGTAACATCATAGCAGCTTTCATCAGGGTTTTCCAGGCTCCATGAGAAAGTCTTCATGTGCTTTAAAATGGGACCAATCATCAGCTTTCACATGACTAAATAGGCCACATGTTGGCTTTACTAAAATCACATTGTGAAAAGCTGTTCCCGTATTCTTCCATGTGACCTAAAGCCTAAATCTAGATCACATGGACTCTGGTTACTATGACCATTGTGGGTGTTTCACATCGATAGGGACAGCAGGTAGTCTATTACTTCCAGTCTAGATGAAGCTGAGGAGCATAGTAAGTAATACTTCTTTATGGCCACTAGATGGAGATGAAGAGCATATGAATATTTATGGCCACTAGATGAAGCAGAGGAGCACAGGAAGTAATAATTATTTATGGCCACTAGATGAAGCAGAGGAGCACAGGAAGTAATAATTATTTATGGCCACTAGATAGAGCAGAGGAGCATAGGCAGTAATATTTATGACCACTAGATTGAGCAGGAGCAGCATAGAAAATACATTAAGTATTTATGTCATATGCTACTCAGCTCCATCTCGTGGCCATAATGGTGCATTTTCCTGAAATTACATTTGACCTGATAAGACACTCTGCTAACATTTGTTTTTGTCTCCGTTAACACAGAACAAAGGAACAAACATCCCAGGACGAATGGTTGTGTAAATTGTTATAGATACAACCCCTAATGTGTTGATGAAGATAACAGCACTGATGTCAATGTCTCAGCCTCGCTCTCTCCATCATTGAGGCCCGCCCAGCATCAGTGAAGACAAATGTGTGTCATGTGACTTTACTGTGTTTACGTGACTATACAAAAAAATTATTCTGCTGGGAGGGAGGGGGGGGGGGTGTACAGAACGGCTAAAACACCTGTCAATATACATATACTGTATAAGGTAATTGGAAATGTGTGTATAAAAGAGTAGAGTTGATCTGGACTTTTGGACTAAAGTTGGACCGAATTTCATGAATTTGAATCTGAGCCAAACCCGAGTTGCAGCATTATTTTTGACAGTTCCCAGGGCCAGGCAGCATTCCTTAGTGTCATGTGTTGGCAGGCAGAGCGGCATCTGCTCCACAATTTTTGCAGTGTGCTTTCCTCCCTTTTTACATCCAGAGTGTCCCAGGTTCCTAAGAGCCAAGTGGAGAGATGATGTGTAAAGGCCATAAATCTCCCCACCCAGGTCTTCACAATCTGGGATGCTCTGGCTGGTGTCCTGCCCAACTCTTGGCAGCCAGTGATGTCAGGGGCGGCGGGACGCTGGCCAGAACGGTGTTGTTACTTCTGCATGCTGGGGTGGCGGCGTCACTCTTCACCAGCACCAATGACCGCCCTCATTGACTGTGTGCACCACCTCCCCAACTCCCCTTACCCCCGACCTCAGGTGGCAAAAAGAATCAGGACTTCCCTGACAGTTACCGTTTACTTTATTAGGAATTGCAGTTTGAGAAACCCAAAAATTCAGAGGCTCCTAAGTTTTTAAAAAGTTGATGACAATGTCAGAAGCAACTTACCCGTAGGGTGTGGTGTTCTTGCATGAGGTAGGTTGTCAAATCTTGGTGTAGCGTCACTTTTTCCAGGAATTTGGACCATGTGACTAAAAGTTGAGAACAAAGCCAGGCCAGGTCCTTGCTGATCTGCTCAGTTATTCTGTCTGGGCCGTCCAGCAACTGCCAGGAGAGAAAAATACATCTGTTATTCCACCGATAAACATCGTCTTTCTTGCAGGTATTTTACCTTCTGAGAGTCTTCTCTGCCAATAAGAATTAATGGTGCTATAGACTCGGCTCTTCAGTATGCTACCATAGGTTTAGAGTCACAGCCAAATCTAAAGCTGAAGCTTAATCTTATATTTTGCCTTCCCTGGTTCCTCCCTCGCCCTCTCATCAGCATGCTAATGACATTTTTTAGAAAAATCTATCCAGACCTCAACCCCATTGAGAATCTTTGGGATGTGCTGAGAAGACTTTACGCAGTTTTATACCCCTCAAACCGGACGAGGGGATGCCCAGTCCTCTCTTGATTGAGGTTCTCCTCCCTGGAGTGGATTGAGGTTCTCCCACCTGGAGTGGATTGAGGTTCTCCCCCCTGGAGTGGATTGCGGTTCTCCCCCCTGGAGTGGATTCTCCATATACTCCTAAAAAGCATCCACTAAGGGCTTCCAATTCTGGTGTCACTGCACCCTAATGAATGCACCATATGAACACATTCTGCATATACTGTACACTGCCTGTATTTAACTAAGCAAATAGGTCAGAGCCTTGCATTGGATAAGTGTTATGATCTGGGGTTCCTTCAGTTGGTCAGGTTTAGGTTCAGCAACATCCCCAGAAAATGAAATCAGCTGCCTCCCTGAATATACTGAATGACCAGGCTTTTCCATCAATGGATTTCTTCTTCCCTGATGGCACATTGGGCATATTCCAAGATGACAATGCCAGGATTCATCGGGCTCAAATTGTGAAAGAGTGGCTCAGGGAACATGAGACATCATTATCACACATGGATTGGCCACCACAGAGTCCAGACCTTAACCCCATTGAGAATCTTTGGGATGTGCTGGAGAAGACTATACACAGTGGTCCGACTCTCCCATCATCACTGCAAGGTCTTGCTGGAGAATTTATTCAACTCTGGATGGAAATAATGTTGTGACATTGCATAAGCTTAATGAAACTATGCCATGTCGAGTGTGTGTAGTGATCAAATCTAAAGACGGTCCAAGGAAATATTAGCATGAGTGACTTTCTTTTGGCCAGGCAGTGTATGATATACTTCGAAGAGATGGATGGTGGAATTCACCTCCCTGGATCTCACAGCAAGGCCCAAGGTTGGAGGAGATGACCAGATTGGACAGAACTAAGAACTCGGTAGGGGTGAAATCCTGTCTCACGCCATCCAAAGTGAAGACAAGTTTGGGTGGAGTGAGACACTTTAAAGAACAAGAACCCAAAGAACCCAAGAACAAAAAGTGTAATTTTGCAGCTGATCAGTCCTTACATGTTGTGGCTGCTTTATATTTCTTTATTAAAGCTAAGTACATTTTCTGTAAGTAAAGTGCACTAAAGTGAGATCCCAAACAACGTTATCAGCTCTCCCAGCTACCTTCTATGAACTACGAAGCAATGCTCATCTATGTTATAGGGATCAGGAGAAGGGGAGGTGTTCGTATTGCAAATAAGGAGGGCAGCCTAAGGTGACAACACTGCTTCTCCATAGATACCGTAAGTGAGCATTGTCACCCTAGGACAGGAAGTGTATGTTCTCCAGGGATACAGTACTGTAAGTAAGCGTTGTCACTTTAGGACAGGAAGTGTGTTACTGGCAGGACTAGCAGGTGAAAATAAACTTGAAAAAAAACCTGAAAAAAAAGAAAACTAATGCAGCCACCACATCTGGTACACTATAATATATTACATTTTTTAAAATATATTTTAGTGTATATTTTTTATGTTTAGGTACCTGTTAATTGTGACTTCAGTAGCGCTTTAGTTTTTAACAATAATCTACTTTCTGAATTATATGAGGATTTTATTTATTGAAGAATTATT